TGGAGTAGACATTAGAATTTAGGTAGCTACAGGTTGAAGCATGACTGTGACAAACAATTTACAAGATATTAGTAGGGTGCTGTTATCTAAATGCACATTGGGAAGAAGCACAGAACAGAATCAAGTGACATTTCAGGCATTTCAGTCCCAGGTCACGTCTTGAGAAAATTGCTGAAATAATGGAGGGGGCATTTTTCAAGCAGAGCTGCAGCTCCAACAGCTATGTTTACTTTAACGCTCCACTAGTGACTTCTGATAGGTTGTCATGACCTCTTTTCACTGTTGCATGTAGGATGTTGCAACAGTGATATGTACAAACCCTTCTTGTGAAAAAGATGAGAATAAACACAGCATACATCTTCCAGGAAAGATGAATGGACAGTGGTTTGTCCATTTAACCATTGGTAAATGTAGTTTATAAACACTTTGGGTTTCATTTCCCTTGAGGAAGAACACCTATCTTCTTTCAACTCAAGCAAATAGAATGCTGAACTTGAAAAATATGAGTGATAAATTTGTGTAAAATGATCTCTTCCAGAGCATTGCCTGAAGACCAAAATAGATAGTTCCATAGGTCAAAGGATTCTACTCTGGTCCCTGACCCCATTGGTCACATGTGGCTTGTAATGTGGGAAGGTTAATATGCAGAGTTCAGTACTTCCAGCTGATTTTTTTTAATTTAGCCAATCACAAAAGAGTTGAAAAGATATAGAATTTGCTCCTGTTTTTAATTTTCTTTATAATTGGTAATTATAAGGTAAATTAAACTTGGCTAAATCTTCAGTTTTAGCAAGGTCTCTTCTGGGGTAAAAAGTACATTCTGTTTTTGGTCAGGCATTCAAAAAATACATCTAGTGTAGAATATTCTTTATAAGTACATTTCTATTCTGGTTTAATTTCTTTAGCAAGAGTTCCTCTCTGTGTTTGGCACCACCTCTCTGTTTTAGACCTCTCTGACCTAAGCCATCATTTGTTGATTGAATGATAAATGAACTATTACTTATTAGTAAGTGCATCTCTAGACTTCAAAGTAAAGAAGGCCGGCCTGGAGGCCTGTATATTTTGTTTCAATCCCAGCAAGTACTTGTGCTGAATAAAATGCTATATCTACCTATAAAATTTAGAGGATTTCTGATTAAGATTGTATAGTTATATCATATGAACACTGATCTGAAAATGAAGCTACAGTTATAGCTATAAAAAAGAATAGAAAATGCAGTGAGATAAATTAAAGAGAGAAAGCTTACTTTTACCAGTATCTGTCTTCTTTATTACTTTCTTGATCAAATAACAGTTATTTTACAATTTCATGTATGCTTTATCTGTTGAAAATTTGGATATTGGAATTGATTTGGGTAAATCAGTATGAGAGATACTAAAAGTTTTATTTATTTAGTTGTACAGTGTTAGATAACCAGTTTGATCATTCTATCTTGTTATAGATAACATAAATCTCCATGTATATTTGAAATGACCTAACTTTTTATCTTGTGATCAACTGAGGATGCTTAAGGAATAATTAAATATAAAAGGTATACCTCAATATAAAATGTTTAAGGTTGTAAGCATTAGAATATTTAGAACGTTCCTTGTTAGAATGGAAATGCAAAGGTCTTTTATGATATTTCATTGATTCCATATTTTTTACAGTACTTTTGAAAAACTTTATGAGTGCATTTGTTAAAGGTCAAAGTAGGATTTTTTTTTCTCTTATTTCTGTGTATACTAATTTAGTTACTGGGAATAGAATTTATTTTAAATTGGTATTCTGATTTTTAAAAAGATATAAATTAATATTATTTACCTTAAGTGGGTAAATTTATTGTAACTACTGGTGTTTTCTGCTTTGACTGTTTGCTTTAACTCTTTGACTTCCATATCTTAAGGTTGGCATGGCAAAAATCTTTGTAGCTTTCTTATGTAAAGGAATTTGTTTGACAGTATTCATATGTGACGGAGAGAAGAAAAAGATGAAATTTTATTGCATATCTGTGATTAGAGCACATAAATGGATAGTTATCTTAATTTTGTTACTTAGCTTTTTCCTACTCATTATAATTTGGTTATAAATGGTCTTTTTGAATATTGCATTAATTAATTTATCAGAAAAATTTTAATTGAAAAATGTTAGATTTTATGGAATGATAATTAAATATTCAACAAAGACACTTATTAAAATTAGCTTTCATTTCTGTGGAAAATGTTCCCGAATATTTGTTCCTTTAATTAAATTGGCAGTATGAAATATCTAAATGGCAAAATATTTTCTAAGTAATCCAGGTGTTCAAAGAGAAACATTGTTAAAATCAAAATAATAAAAAATTATTTAATTGATTTATATAGTGGTGATTTTAAAATAGAATCATTTTTCATCTCTGGGTGCCTCAGTGAAAATTGACATTGTGTCTTTTTAAAATTGGACAAATGAGTCATGTAATTTTCAGTTACATAATCAATAACTTACACAAATACTACTTTGATGATTTATGTGTGTCTGTTTTTATACTTATTTAGATGGGACACATCAAATTTCAGAATCCATTTAGAATAAAATAGACACAATAATGTTCCAATTCATGATTTACAAAAATTGAAGTATAAAGTTCTATTCAGATAAACCTGATAATTAAGAAAATCTTTCCAATGATTAACTTATAAAATAGGGTGAGAATTATAATTCCTGTAACTCGGAATTTTGTCTGAAGTGTTTTTATTGAGAATTCATTAATTTGCAGAGGATACTAATGTTCTACCACTTTGTTATCATGTCTAAATTTTTGAAATTATCATTAAAATATAGTATATCACTGTTTTCATCTCTGTCCTATGTAAGTGAGCGAGAGAGGGTGTGTGTGTATTTAAAGTTCACTTGACTCAGAGAAGGCAGGGAAGAAACATGACAGGAGACCACTTACTCTCGGTACAGAAACTAGTAAGGAGGCAATTTTCTTTTTGGCCTATGGTGACCTTTTTTTGACTATGTTCCCTTCACCAGAGACAGTGTACTGAATGCCTCTATTTCACCCTGTTTAGCAGAGTGCAACAGTGTTCTTTAACTTACTTTTGGTGGGAGGAGAAGTTATAGCTGAAATTTGAGAAGGGCGTGAAAAGTTGTAAGAGGCACAAGGAAGAGTGGTAGGAGCTTCCTTCAAATGTGATTTTAATAACTAGTCAAGTGTGTCCAACTGTAGAAAATCACCAAGTGACAATCTGTCTACCTGACAGTGATCACAATGAATTACAAGACTTTTGAATAGCTATACAGATTAGAATAAAGCAGGACCAAATAAAATATCTTTTGTTGGTAAAACTTTGTTTTACTAGCTAAGAAACTTAAAAAAAAAAAGAAAAAGAAAGAAAGAAAGAAAGAAAAAAGAAAGCCTTCTCTGTGCTTTGATGTAGAACGTTTAATTTAAAGTCTTGTAAAGTATTTTATAAGGCTTTCATGAAAGAGGTATGTGTCTAAAAGTTCTATTCAAGCATATACTGAAGAATATGTGGGATATTGTTAATCAATTTGGTACACATTATATAGTTTGCATATACCTAAGACAACCATATCTTAATTAACAGTCCTGTCACTAAAATCAGAACTTAAATGATCTTCAAAGTCTCTAAACCATGGTTTTAGACAATATTATCTCTTGAGGAAGGGGGGTAGAGTTGAAAGGATCCCAGTGAAGTTTGTACGTGGTTTTGAAATCAGCTGATAAATAAACCAAGTACATGCAGCAATGTAGCATATTTTAAAATAAGATAGTTAAGTCTATGCTGTTATTACTGCTATCAGTTTTTTAAAATCGTCTTCTTTTATATTAGTTTGGCAAAAATAATGAAATTTCAAACGAAGTAGAAGATTGTACAGTCTTAGAAATGTATTTACTTTTTTTTTTTTTTTTTTTAGTAATGATGATTTGTTAAGCTTTATGTTTTGTATCTCTTGTATCTCTGATGTTTTTATCACAATATAATACGTGTTTTAGGTATGACCTTACAGGATTGTGCAAGGCAAAATTAGGACACCCACAGAACAGAATTGAATAGACAAGATACATAATTCTTTCAAAAATATGTGTTGTGCATGCTTGTCAATGGTAATTGTTTACCCTTCTCTATTTTCTCAATAGAATATTCCATGAGTTATAACAATATAAATACCAAAGTTTTCTTAATGATAACCATAGAAGCGTTGCCTTGCTAGCATTAAATCAGACAGGAAAATGTGCTTTAAAAATGTTTACAAAGGCTTAATAATAGTTCAGTGAGCTGTATTTTAAATTTTGAAACTTGTTTACTTATATTAGTTCTTTATGAAAAGAGATTTTTATGGTAGTTAAAAAATGAAAGCAACTTCAGGGTTAAAGTATTACTGCCATACATCACACTAAGATTAATTTATTTTGTTTTGTGATTTGTGTGGCTTTCTGAAAAAAGAGGGGGAGAAATCCAAGGTGCACAGGTAGAAACTATATGTTTGTGATAATATACATATTACAATACACATATATAAATATTATATTATATTTATTTCTTTTTACCATTAAAACAAAAAATGCTTACTGAATCACAGCTTGTAAAGGAAAGAAAGATCCAACAAAATACAGTTTGAATTTGAACTTCAGTTTCAAAGAGGTTAATTTCTCAAAGTATATATTATAAATATTAATGTGGTTTGAAAGTGTACTTTTAACTCACAGTTTACTTCCATTATTTTTGGGGTTCTAGAAGATCTAAAGTGCCTTTTACAAATTTTAAACTTTATAATCTTTATGTTTAAAAATTTGTATTTTCTTCTTATAATAATGTATGGTTATTTACATAAACAACCCAGGCAAACAATTTGATACACATTTCTTTTGGAAAAATTAAAACTATAATCTTTCATGAAGAAATGTTTTAATGAATATACAAACATATTAAATAACATGGAATTGTAAAGAAATTTTTATGGATTGAAATAGTTTCTAGGATTAAATTAAACTCTTTTTTTTTCTAAACAGGAAGGATATGGAGTAATAGTTTTGAATCCCAATGAAAACTATATTGAAGTAGAAAAGCCGAAGATACCTGTACAGGCATCTTCGGAGAGTTCAGATGAACCAGCAGAAAAACGGGAAAGAAAAGATAAAATCTCTAAAGAAGCAAAAAGGCGACGTGAATTCTATGAGAAATATCGTAACCCTCAAAGAGAAAAAGAAATGATGCAGTTGTATATCAGAGTAAGTAATAAATAAGATCATTACTTTTCTTCATTATTTTCCTTGTGTTTTATTCCATATAAATTATTTTATTTATTTTTCGAAAGAAACTGTTAATTCCTTAATTTCTAACCATTTATTTTCTATGGATGCTATGTAATCTACTTTTTAAATCAAAATCACAAACACGTTATTCTTATATCAGTGTGATAGTTTATGTAAGTCTCAAAAGCAGTTCATAATGCACTGCACGAAACATCAGTCTTCATCTTGAGTGGTGATAGTTTTAACGTGTTGTTTTTCTACAGGCAGCCACACATCCACTGTGTCTCAGTTTAACTTCTGTAGGCAGATAGTGGTGAGAAGAGTAATTAATATCTTAATAAATATTTAAGCTAGAATATTTGCGGATAGTGTAATAAGGGAACTCTGTCATTTGCTTTTTTCTTGCCTCGTGAACCTTTGCACTTTGTAATGCTAGCAGCATGAAATCGTTACAGCAGTACTGCCCAAGGAGTTCTAATTCTGCAGGGGGCACAAACAATTTTATTTGCACTTTGACACATTCTGCTTGATATACACTGTGTATTATATATATGAAACAGGCTCATGCAGTTTTCAAAGCCCTTTTTGTGGATTCTAGAAATATAATTTAATAGTAAAGCATGTAAAAAATGCTACAGGGTATGTAAAATAGTAAATTGATAGGTTCTTCCAAAGTGAACAAGTCAGAACATTTAAACATAGATAATTAACATTTTATAAATTATACAATAAGATAATAGTAAAGTTTGATATTATTCAGCTTGAGCTATTTTTACATTTACTTTAAAATCTCATTAATAAACTGTTTCATACCACCTTTCATGGGAAATACATGGCTTTCAAAGTTACTTTCTTGAATATACTTCTAGTTCAAGGCATAATCACTATACTTTTGAGAATGATACTCAAAGTATTCAAGCCATTTGATTATATGTCAGTCTGTTGAATAAGTTATGACATGTAATTAGTAGCAAAAGCCACATTTCAATTCTCAATGCCCCAAAACAGGTGTTCTTGACCAAGAATACCCAAAGCACATCAAACAATGAGCCAAGCGAAAGTTTAATATGTACATTTCTGAAAAGCATCTTGTTAATTAATATGTTATTGGGGTGGGGGAACAGTTAGACTTGGAATCAGTAAGGAGTTTGCTTGTCCTGATGCAGTTATGTTACTGCCTTTCTTCCTGTGACTGCTTCAGGGTCATATCTCCTTCTCTAAGGGTTGTCCTCAGCTTTTTGTTATATGATCCAGGCTATCAACCACTATCTGAAGGCATACTTTTATAAAAAACGTATCTGATATCCAAATTATATAAGGTTTTTGAAATATAGAAATCATTATGAGTATTCACTTGCTTATGTGAAATGCACACAAAGTGATTTTGGGTATTGTTTTTTATTTCTTCTTAAACAGTTTCTTTTATTTGCCTATGATATGTACAGATTAAGCATCTATGTCTGACATCTGTCTAGTAGGTTTTATCTCTTCTTTTCTATTTTGTCTTTATCTTGTCGCCATTGCTTTGATTTTTTTCTTTGTTCTCTTGTATGGGTGCATTTTCTTTATTCTGTTTTTCACATCTGTTTAGTTTATCCCAGCATTGATTTTTTTTCTTACACCAAGGGGAAATATCTTTTTATGTTGCTTCATTGTTAAGATTTGCTCTCTTTCCCTTTGTCGTTTTCTTTAATTCTTTTATCTCTTTTACACTTCTGCCATTTTTACTTCTTTCCTTATTATGTCTTTTTGCCTCTTTCTTTCTTTTCCCATTTCACTTAATGGTCTAGGTTTCCATTAAAAGGGCTAAAAGACGGAAATAGACTCATATAAGTAATACAGCTTTATACTTGATCGTCTTAGTTACGAAAAATGTTATTTTTCTTAATAAATACCTTTTCTTAATATCTCCCAGAATTGTGTAAAATAACAGAGTTAAGCTGATAGCTTCAAACATACTTCTATATAGTAAGGCATGATCCTATAGTAGGAATGAGAAGAATGCTTCATTTTGTATACAGGCTTTAATTCTTAGGTAATTTTGATCCACTTGAGTAGTTTTTCTAGTAAGTACTCTTCTTCTATCTACAAAGCTCCAAATAACAAGGGTTTGCAATTTTCATACACAAAGTATGGCATGTGATGGGGATAAATTAATTTTTATTTATTTATAAACATTTACATTTGGAATTGATCATTTATTCTTTGAAACAACTCTTTGAGATAGGTGGATCAAGTAATTTTATCCTTCTTTAATAGTTAAGGAAACTAATGCGCAGATGGTCCACTTTTGTCTAGGATCACATAACTGATAAAACGGTAGAACTAAGTTTTGAAGCCAAGACTATACATTCTTGCTCCTTTTCTTTTTTACCAAAGTGTTCTAACTGGTTGAAAACAAAATATGTATCTGAAATATGAAAACTAAACCAATTATAATGAAATCATTATATGATATAGTAATACATGTGATTATTATGTAGATTTTTAACCAGTTATCACTTAATAGACACTATTAAATGTCTATTAACAATTTATATGTAATATATCTATAATATAGAAAAAATAATAAATATATTCTATTATATTAAAATATCTTTTCTCTTTTAATAGGATCACTGATATTGATTTAATTTTGGCAGATGAGGAAACTGTGGATCAAAACTTAGTTTCATGAGAGCAGGCACTTAATCTGTTTTGCTGACTGCCCCATCCCCAGAGCCTAGAACAGAGCCTTCATAATGAATATTTATAGAGTAGGACCTTCGCAACAGATTTTTAGTTAATAATGTGTTGGAGCCAGAATTAAAATCCCAAACCACTACTGATTTTTAAAATATGCCCTGCATCATTAAAGTATGCTACATGGTTGCTCCCCGATCTAGTGACTTAGAATAAATTCTAAAAATTAATGGTAAAAAGTATATTAAGATATATTTGATACCTTGATTGATCTTATATATTTTCATCTGAATATATAAAAGTTGGATATTCTGTTTTCCTTTTTAGTTATATCATCTTGGTGCTAAAATTATGGATATTTTATTCTGACCTACTGCTATTTCTGTAGGTCAGAATAAGAATACAGGCAGACTACTGTACTGCTATATCCTATATAAACTTTGTGCTTTCTGAGATCTGTAACTTTGCTTCCTTTTACTTTCCCTTAGTCCAGATTCTATCCATCTTATAATTCCAAGCTGATATCTCACATTCTCCACTCACCATAATCAGTGACCTCTCCTTAATATGATTCTTGGAAGTTATTGTGTTTAGTTAACATATGGAATTTGTCATGTGCTATCTTAAAACATTGTCTTTGTCTCGTAATATTATTAATACTAGTGACCCGTAGTAGGAATATTCCTGCAAGACTTCCGGCGGGCTTCCCTCCCCTTTCCCACTGCAGTGGGCAGGGAGGGGTGGAGTGGGATGGGCTGGGCGCACCCCACCCATCCTGCCTGCTGCACAGCGCCCGCTGGAGGCCACCACAGCCACCACCTCCGCGACCACGCCCACTGCACACCTTGCCCAGCACACCGGACCCGCCCATCCACCGATGCCTATGCCTCTGAGGCCACGCCACCACCTCCGCTGCATGCCCCAACCCACCGCGCCCACTGCCCCTGCTGCCTCCCGCTGCCACTGCGGGAGTGCACCTCGTGGCCGCAGTGCACCTCGCCCCACCCCGCACTCGCTGCCAGTGCTTTCCCTCCAACAGCCACATCTGCCTTGCTTTCCACTTTCCCTCCCTCTTCCTTCTATGTTGTCTTCAGCCTTCACTCCTCCCTCCCTCTGTGTATGCAAATTAACTGCCATCTTTGTTGGGTTAATTTGCATACTCACTCTGATTGGCTGGTGGGCATGGCTTGTGGATGTAGCAGAGTGGTGGTTAATTTGCATATTGCTCTATTATTAGGTAGGATTACCAATGTATCTTTCATGCCTTCCCACTAGGTCTTCCCAGAAACCTCTAGATCTTTGAGCATCCTTTATAGATTTTAGAAATGCATGTCAATCCTTATACGTAGGTATGAGCCAGTTTTCACACTAGTACAGAGGAAATGAGGAACTGATACTACACACACACTTAGAATCCAATCACTGAAAGGAGACCATGCCTTACTCTAGAGATACCTAGATAATGTTACCTGCAGCATAGGAATGATGGTTATTCTGGTATCAAACGGGACCATAGAGAGACAAGTACTCCAACTAAGAAAGAAGACCAATTAGAAGAATTTTATATATAGTTTATATTACACATAGTTGGATATACGCAAAAGTGATTTGAGGCCAATCTATGAAATACTGGGTTAAAACTGTTTTAATGTCTCTTCCCTAAGAGACTTAGTTGTAAGCTATGGTAATGGGAAGTAAAGAAGCAGGATGATTAGACCAGAGCATTTTTTTTTTAAATGCTAGAAGTGGAGGAGGGGGAGGAAATTATATGGCCACACAAGGAAAAATTCAGATGTGGAGGAGACATTTACAGAATAGGAATCTTGGCAGAGCCTGGCATTACACATTGAAGATCCTCAAATATTTATGGATTGATTGCTTGTTGACATCCATCACAAAAATCTTATTCCTTAACATGCAAGATATGTGGTGTCTAGTTTTCTGACGGATTTTTTCAGCATTCATGTGAATTTTTGCAGTTGTTCAGAAACAGCTAATTCCAATAAACTGAAGCTTTCTTTTTTAAAAAAAAAAATTTTTTTATGTTCTGACTTTGGTTATGTCCAAAATATTGGTGAAGGCTGATAAATATCCTGACTTCTCTATGCCTCTTCTGTGCAAATGCCACTGGAGTAATTTCTATCTAATGTTTTTGCAACAAAATTCAATTTATTTATATTACAATCAATGATTGTTTAACCTCTGGGACCATTTTTATTTTCCTAGTATATACTTGTATGTAAATTTTCTTTTATTCTGGGATCCAGTAAATAGCCAAAATCTCCTTTTAAATT